ACACACACACACACACACACACACACACACACACACACACACACAGAGTGTGACAGGTTTGGTCACAGAGAGCCCCTTGGGACTATCACCTGACATGCTGGAATTACCTCTGAGCCCATTTTCCCTGCCAGCTTGGGACTCCAGAACACTGCCTTGTTGAGCCAGACACGCTTAAAACTCACTTAAAATCACTACCAGGATCTCAAAGCAATCAGCTGTGCACAGATCCTGTTCGACTACGCCACTGTGACAGGACCTGTCACAGTGGCCTGTCACATGTAGGGCTGGGTTTTTTTCCATCTCAAGAGCCTGACCCCGCAACTGATCCTCATGCAATTAGACCCACTAAAGTCAATGAGGTTTTTCATCTGGGGAAAGGTTGCAGGATTGGACCTGTGATTTGGAAATAGGTTGTCATGTGGAATGCGAGATCTTTTCCAAAAATCCATTTTAAAGATCTCACAAAATTGTATAAAACTAAGCAGTACAGAGCCAAAAGAACTGCTCCATCCAATCTTCATCCTCAGTAACTTAAACAGGCATATATTATGCTTAGGGCCAGACTGTGATATACCGGTACTCATGCCTAAGTCCTTCTGTAGTCTTATTAAAATCAATGTGTAAAGTGCTACTCAACAGGAATAAGGGTGGCAGGATCTGGACTTCTTTTTATTTCCATCTGTACCAAAAATGCATCAATCACTATAATTTTTAATCAACAAATAATCTTTGCAGCAAAGCCACATCTGACCACTTCGCCCCAAGGGAAACTTTCTGCAGGCATTTTTTTTTCTGGTCCATTAATAAAAAGATACAAAGAAAACAAATTTTAGGAGGGAACTGCCACAAATAAATGTCAGAAATGACACCCATATAATATTTCAGAAACAATAAAAGTTGAGACAGATTGAATTTTTTAACGATCTTCCTTGAAGGGTATTGTGTGTTTCTCTGCAGCAGGAAGTCTCATGCTGTACAGTTTTCCCCTTCAGGAGCCAAGGTTAATTGAATAGCAGAGATAATATATTGTCATTTGCACATGGAATTAAGTCCCCCTTGCTCCCAGCAGGTTCCGTACCTTCAGAAATTGTTCCAAGGTTGTCCATGAACTGGAAGAGGGGCTATTTTTTTTTTATGTCCATTGCCCTTCTTTAGCTCCCTTCAACCACATAGCGAGGGAAGTGAAATTTGCTGGAGGAGACCATGAAAACAGTTTCATAACTTTCCACATATTTTCCCTGCATAAATACTCGGCAAATCTGGAGTGTAAATCATGCTATAGCACATTGGTCAAGTCCCATGAGTGCCACTGAAGTCAGACGAATTATGGTATTTGCTATCTCAGTTGTTACAATTTCTCGCCTTTCGTTTATTCATTGCCAGTGTCTGGATTTACGTCAGAGGGGGAAAATAGGAGTTTTGCTAGCTAAAGTTAACCCCTTATTGCAGGAACGGTAACATCATGTTTTCCAGCAGCAATTTACAAGGATATACCCATTAACATTGCTCAGTAACGATGCAGTCAAGAAAATTTCCAGACGTGAGCAGGAGAGATTATTCTCTGTGGAAACAGCAACTGGAAACTCCAATGCCAAACCTTTGTTTTATGGATGTGAAACAAATATTGAAGTAATTAAAAAAAAAAGTTTTACAAGACCTATCTAAAAGTGCTGTGACATGTATGCTGGATGGCTACTGCTGAGCGAGTCTGCCTGGCTGTACGAAGTGTTTACTATTTGCATATTAGCTCCAGAATAAAGTAAATTATTAATGTCGAACAACACTGAAAGGCTCTCTGCTTTTACCAAGTCTCCGACTCCCTGATATAAGGCTACTTCTTTCAAGGCAATGTCGGGTGATACAGTAAAGGATCCATTTCCACTCGGTAGAGCCTGTTATGCACAATGTTGGCCCCCGTATGGACCAACCAAAGCATCTGTTACATGTATCCTGAATTGTCTAATGGAGATCCACCTTGTAAACGCAAGTCCCCTTTGGCTGCCAGGGCCTGCACACACAACCAGAGGGCCATGGCCTTTGTCCTCTGCCTTGCAAAGGCACCTGTTGTCATGGTCCGTGCGTCTTATGCCCATAACACCAATGTTCGTTTATAATGCCTCCTTCAGACACAGAAAAACGCATCGTTTGCACAGTGAAGTTACAGGAGCTAAATGGAAGCCACTCACGTGTGGAGAATATGTACTTTGTTTCTGCAATGTTTCTAAAACAGAATAGGCCTCTTACCTATTGTTCTTCGGAGATCTTCACACAGGCTAATGTGAGGGAATTTCAAGATTTCCTTCCACTTTTTGCTTTTGCCTTTGCGCTTTCCTCCACCCCCTGCAGAAGAAGGAGAAGAGATGTCAGGATTATAATCTTTTTCAGTGCCATGCCCAATCCACACCTGGCTGTCCTCTCACTCAGACCTATTAGCACAGTCACAGTCCCCATAAACACCTTTTGAGTATCGCAGCTCTGTAAGAGCGGCAGTCAGAGTCAGTGTTGTGTTGTGTTAGAAAAAGGCCCAGGTTACACTGATATTTGAAAATTGTATTGGCAGAGATAGGTCAAGGAGGCAATGTTTGGATCCAGACCTGGATTACTGAAGCCTAGAGTTCAGTCTGAGCCCCAGACAAGACCAACAAGTTTGAGAGTGCTGAACTGAGCTGTTCTCATAGCATTTCAACCCAAAGTGAATTCATGAAAATCAGACATTTGTCTGAAGTTTCCACCACCTTAGACTTCATCTGAGGCACATCTGAATAACAGGCCCCTTCCGGTTTTGAATCTGACCCAAGCCCCATATCTAAGGAAGGCTTGGATCTGGAGGTCAAAATTCAACACCTCCTGTCCCCCACCTCATACAGCCATAAACTCAAAGTGGCATTGCCTTTAGGAGTTACACTCATGGATAACTGATTACTGTGTAGGGTTAGTATTCATTTAAAAAAAAAAAGAAACAAGAAAAAATTCAGTCAATTCACCCAAGTATACAAAGCAGAGATTCTTTTCTTATCTTTTTTGTCTTTCTTTCCTTTGCTCCTCCCCTCACCCCCCTCACCTTTCCTTTGGGCCCGATTGTTCTCATTGCAAAAAATAAAGAGGTAGTTTGGAATTAATCTGAAGCCTGTATTGCTGCTAAATACCATTTTAAAATGTCGACTGCAAGACAATAACAATAAATGTTTTCATCAGAGGGTCTCAAAAGTGAGCGACAACCGTTTATATAGAAAATAATACAATATTTTTTCATACATCACTTCATCACAAAAAAATAGATCCCCACTGAGGATGAAGAGCCAGAACTCTGCGGGCGAGTGTGGGCTGTTTGTGGCACTCCACACACTGAGCTGCCTGGAGTCTGGGAAGTTCCTAAAGCCCTGAGCCCATGGGGTACAAGTTGCTCAGAATTCTGCCTCTGCAGCCCCAGCCGGAGTCAAAGCACCATGGGTCTATGCAGGCTGCCGCCTCTGCTCCCACTGAGACCAGTCTTGGGTGAGTTACTAAAGCCTCCCAAGCACTGCTGCTGAAGCTCCAGGTTGAACGAAATCACCCAAGGTTTCTCTACTCCGGGCGGTGAGACAAATTAAGGAAAGCTGTGACGTTAATCCCCTCCTGTGTGGATGCTCTCATTCAGAAGTAGAGAGACCTTTGTTCACTGAAAGACCACTTTGCTTCTGAATGAAGTGCATCCACACGGGGATTAAATGCGCTATGTGCTTTAACTTCACGGCTTTAGTTAATTCGCCTTAACTTGCCTGAATGTCCCTGTGCAGACAAGCCCCAGGGGTGAGCGTGGGCCACTATCTCTCCCACATCCCCACCAGAGACCTGCCCCCCAAATCACCTTTACGGACTCCACTGCTGGCATCCCTGCCTTCTCTGAACAATCTCTCTCGTGAGCATGTTTAACAATGTCACCTCCCACCTCTCTAGTTTCTGTGCTCCCCTCCCCTTTTCATCTCTTTTTCCCCACAGCTCCACCTAATTACATCCTCCTCCTGCCTTTCCTCCACCTCTTGCCTTCCTACATTCCCCGCTCACCTTGCTTTACAGTTTTGACACAGTAGTAACAATACCTGATCCTCCTGAGCATTCTCTACACTACAGATTCCACCAACGGACCTGCACTGGAATGATGTCTACAATCAGATTTTTTTGAATCCAAGATCTGAGGACAAAGAATGCATGGGCTGGGGAAACAGAGTCCTACCAGAATTTAGGGCAAGGCAAAATGGCAATTGTGCCATCTGTCCAGGAATCAATCAGATGAGGTTTTGGACAATCAGTACCCAAATGATTTTAGGTCATATTCTCTCTTAAGCGCTAAGAGTCTTCTCTAGAGCATCTTTAGTAGAGCTCTGCTTCTTACTGGGATCTCCAGAGGTTGTAGGACCTATGGGCTCACTCACTTCAGTGCAGGGAAACATAATGAAGCCAAATGTGCTGTAATTATTGTCTTGCAGTGTAATGCTAAATAATTTCTCACATCTAGACTAGCTCAGTCTACTGAGGGTATTTTAATACTGGCTCTCTTTTTCTTTCTCTGTCCCGGCATTTTTAATTCTAACTTTTCTTTCTCTCTTTTTCACCTTCTTCTTTCCCCAGGATTACACCCCACCACAGGAAACAACGGGTGTAAAAAAAAAAAGGTGTAAATAAAAGTTTCCACATCAGCAATAACAAAGGGTATAGGAATGTGATGAGGAGGGTTTCACTCTCATTACAGTTCCTGCCACGTGTCTATCCCAATTAGACAGGCTGTGCAATCACGGAGAATGAATATTCTTCTAAATCTGAAACCCCAGCTGTTTTTTCTGAGATTCCCCCCAGTGCTGTATTTATTGTGATTCAGTCTCTGCACACAAAATCTGATTCACATAATTCTACTTTAGATGCCATGACACGTCGAGTGACTAATTCAGAGCCAAATTCATTGTTAGTGAGCTGGGAGAGACGCAATCGTAGATTGAGAGTATGGTGGATACTACATGATTTTGCTGACTACATAAGGGGTGTTGATTCAACAGGTAACAGAATATTACATGGGAAGCTTGAAAACTTTGGAAGTTTTGCAAAAATCATGGAGTATTTGGGGCACTTCTGATCATGTAAATACAACCTTTCCACAATATGGGATAGAGGGGAGTTCTTTCTGAATCATGACTAACTCACTTCTCTATTCTCTTGCCTCTGTGACTAATGGCTTTGTCGTTTAAGGGCTTGGTACGCCCACATCTTGAATACCATGTGTAGATCTGGTTGCCCCATCTCAAAAAAGATATATTGGAATTGGAAAAGGCACAGAAAAGGGCAACAAAAATTATTAGGGTATGGAACAACTTCCATATGAGGAGAGATTAACAAGACTGACTTTTCAGCTTGGAAAAGAGACGACTAAGGGGGAATATGATAGAGGTCTATAAAATCATGACTAGAGTGGAGAAAGTATCTAAGGAAGTGTTGTTTACTCCTTCTCATAACACAAGAACTAGGGGTCACCAAATGAAATCAATAGGCATCAGGTTTAAAACAAACAAAAGGAAGTATTTCTTCACACAAAGCACAGTCAACCTGTGGAACTCTTTGTCAGAGGATGCTGTGAAGGCCAAGACTATAACAGGGTTAAAAAAAAAACTTGATAAGCTCATGGAGGATAGGTCCACCAATGGCTATTAGCCAGATGGGCAGGGATGGTGTCCCTAGCCTCTGTTTGCAAGAAGCTGAGAATGGGCGACAGGGGATGGATCACTTGATGATTACCTGTTCTGTTCATTGCCTCTGAAGCACCTGGCATTGACCATTGTTGGAAAACAGAATACTGGGCAAGATGGACCTTTGGTCTGACCCAGTGTGGCCGTTGTTATGTTCTTGCCTTAAATTAGACTTTAAACTCTTTATTGATAGGAATTTAGTTATTGTAATACTCTCCTTTCTACCCTTCCGTCTCAGCTCTTCCCTCTCCAGTCCATCCAAAATTCTACTGTTGCTAAAGAAATGTTCATTTTCTATCACTCTAACCATGTCCTCCTAGAGTCACTTCATTTGTTGTCCCTGGTGCTTGCATATCTCCCATTTCCTGCCTGCTAAACATCTTCTCTCTCTTCCTCTTCAGACCCCATTGCAAAAATCACTTATTCCAGGAATATTTTCCTCCTTCTAACCACTGATAATTTTGATTTCACTCTCTTCCCTGAACAACTGCCTCATGCCTTGTCTTGTGTTTGTTTGCCTTGTTTACTGTAGATTGTAAACTTTTGAGTGTCCAACTCTATGATGGTATATCTCCATGGGAATTTACTGCACTATATAAATATTTATTAACTAGTTGTGGGGGCAGATCCTTAGGTGGTGTAAACAATGGAGCTATGATAAAATACACCAGATACACCACTGAGAACAAATGGGCCAAACATTTTAGGATCAATCATTCTTTTTTAAAAATCATCTTCACAGAAATTCTCAAGATGTGCTTTCAACTGTAGCAGCACAAATCAGTGCAGTACATTGTAAAGCAACTCTCCACCTGAAATGTCAGTTTCGATATTGTGTTGGGGGGGAACCTGACCACGATGGGGCAGAAGGACTTTTAAAATGCATTTGATTTAAGACATATATTGCTACAGACAAAATGGATGATGCATTTTTGACATTAATTTGCATCACAATCTGGGAAGGGCTCCTAGGTCCCTAGTTACAACTGTGACTGATGCATGGTATAACCAGTGAGTTCTTTTCTCTTCTGTGCCCATCCTATAAAAAGCAGCAGCCTCCTCTGATGAATGATTTGCTCTTAGCTAAATGCAACGTGGTGTTACTATTTTGCCTGTGACGTCTTTATGTTAAAGATGCTGATCAACTGCTTTAATCTACCTGACCTTTCGGCTCTCAGCCTCTCTCATGGAGCCAGCAAGCACTTGCTGGCTCCAAATGTAATTCTAGGGTGTTTGAAGGACATAATGCATTGAGACAGCTGAGACAGGGTAAATTGTCTGGCAGAGTTAAAAGCTAAAAGGGAAGGTTTCTCTGAATAGTTTGGTAATTGTGCAGGTTGCACAAGTAAAGGCTTTTCACTTGCCTTGATTCCTGTCTTTACGCTGTCTACTCAGGCCAGGACGATCTGCAATCTTCAAGGCAGCTTTTCTTAGCAAAACCTGACAAACCTGCTGTGTTTTATATGCTAGTTTTATCATGAGGGTGTGGGGTGGCTGATTTGAAACCTCAGTTTGATGATGGCAATACAAGGTGAAATGCCAATAACAGTGTGAAATTTCAGTGCTGTTACTGGGCATTCACGTAATGACCGGCATACTGAGGAGTGAAGCTAATTTTTCATTATG